TTCCGGATGGAGTCCTCGGCTTTGATGAGGTTGAGCTCCACCATGACTCTGTCCACGACGAGTTCCAGGAACTCGTGTTGCTTGGCATTCATGGCCACGCGCACTCGGTCGCTGTGAAGCCAATCAAGGAGCTTGGCGGCGGTCACGGGCTCCTGCGCCTGCACCTCGGGGCTTCGCTCGTCCCTGCGCGTGGTTCGTCTATCCTTTCCTTTGTCGCCTCGGACCCGCGAATCGATGGCGGCTTGCCTCACCCGCTTGTGGTCCTTCACGGGCTCCTTGGCGGACAGCTCGTGGAACCTGTTGCTGGCCTCCGGGTCGGGTCCACCTCCGCTGTCTCCCTCCAGCCAAATGGCCCGCGACAGCGCGAACATCTTCTTGGTGCGGTCGGCGTGCGTCTGGGCCTCGTTGGTCGCATCGCCGCCGGCTCCTCCCCGAACGTGCGTTTCCATCGCCAGCGTGATGTCGTCCTGCAAGCAGCGCTTGAAGCTTGGACTCTATAAAATCAAGTTCAGCGACATGGCACACAAGCTTCAAGACCCGAACTTGCAAGGTCCTGGTCGAAGAAGCAGGGCACGTCCTCCAAGTCTTCGTTGTCGCTGTTGGCCTCCAGCTCCGCACCGGGCCGGAGCTCCCGCGGCAGGCAGTGCACGAAGCAGAACTGGGCGGCATAGCGCTTCACGGACTCTGTGGGGAAGCCGCGTCGGCCCAGCCAGAGCCGGGCTGCCTGGAGCGAGTCCGTAGCCCCTTGGTCGCGAGCAAGCACGTCTCCCACGAAGGCCACGAGGTCGTCCGAGGAGGCGTCTCGGCGATCACTCACCCAAGGGCGAAAAAGCAGCAGGAGCTTCATGGCCTGCTCCTCCGCGGTTTGATTGATGTCTTGCGCGCCGAAGAGGATTGGCACGTAAGGTCGCTTGCGCGGCACCATGACCCAGTCGTGCTTGAAAGGCTGGGCGAGCTCGCATGCGCCAAAAGGGATCCACTCCTCGTCACGGCCCGGCTCCCGAATGAGATAATCGACGCCCGGCGTGAGCTTGGCCTTGAAGCGATGCCAACGCACCTCTTCTTTGCCCGCTTCTGTCAACTGAGCTTCGTGGCGGCTTTCATCGTGCGAGCGGATGCTCCAGGGATGGGTCGCTTGCTTGAGCTCGAAATGCATGGCGAACTCGTACGCGGACAACTCATGGACACGCGGATCTCGTCCACGGGAGCCGTAGAGTGTCCAGAACGGACAGTGCCTGACGGCTTGCTGCTTGCCCCACTTGGGTCCTTTGCTCCAGCGCTGCGGTTCTACAGGCCAGGGCTCGCGATCGGCGGCTGCCTGCAGCAGGCTCAAGCCGTACCACAGCGGAATGCCTACGACTTGCGCAGTGCGGATGGACTCCGCTTCCAGGGGGTCGCCGTGCTTGTTCCGCGTGAGGAGGTTGCTGCATTCCACCGAGCCGCGACAAACACCTCGACCGAAGCTGTCTGTGATGAAGCGGTTCTCCACGCGTGAGGCTACGTATCCGGCTGGCTTGCCCTTCAGCTCCTCCGCGAGCTCCTTGTTCCCTTTGTCCCACTCCTTGATCTCGTGGATGGCGATCGGGAGGCGCTTGTTCTGGTAGTCGCAGCCATAGCCCGCCTGTGCCGCCTGGTTCCGCTGAGCCTCTCGAACCAAAGTTTGCACGTCCGGGCCTGCCCCGCGGCATGTCTCATCCTGGCACTTGTGGCTGTGAATGTCCTCGATGATCGGGAAGCGGTACGGTAGCTGCAGGTCGGAGTTGCAGCGCAATGCCGCCAGCAAGGCAGGGTGGGTGCCGTTGAGCTCCGGGTCGTTGACGGGGCCCCAGAGGGAGCCGAGCATGCTTCTCTTGCCTTTGGCGGGCATGTCCATCTGCTTGGCCAGCCCTTCGCAAACGATCAAGGTCTCCTCGGTCAATTGCTTGTGGCGCGGGAAGCCGGCCTTGCATTTCGTCGGGTCTCGCTTATCGCGGCAATGGGAGAGAGGAAGTCTGGGCCCTTGCGGATCCGTGTCCTTGGGCAAATGAACGTGGTGCTGCTTGTGCTTCTGGAGCTCCTCTACGTCCTCCTCCAAGTATTTCTGTTTCCAGGCTTTCGCGGAGAGCCGGGCATCGCTTTGATAGCCGGGCCGACTGAGCATTAGGACGGAATTCCGATACTCGGGCCATTCCATTTCAAGCGCATCGCGCTCCTTCTGCCAATCTGAGGGGTTGCAATATACAGTGCGTCTGACGGTCGCGCTGTATTCTTTGTACTTCTGAACTAAGTCCATGTAAGCCTCTTTCCCCATCGCCACGATCTCCGAGAGGGGCGTGAATTGATGGAGGCACTGCAAGAAGACTTGGAAGTGAGCGTGTAGGGCGCCGCTCCTCTGGCATTCGATGGAGCCGAAGGCCGCGTCCACTCTGCCCAGCACTCCGCCCATGGCCGTCGCATTGCTCCCGAACGCATCCGTGCAAGGCCGGTCCGACTTGGCACAGTTCGGACAGTTGGGGCACCAGCGGACACCGAAGAGATGCTGCAAGACCAATTGCACCAGCGTCCAAAAGCCATCCGCGCACGAAAGAGGGTCTCTGGCCAGGATTGCTCGACGCTCGTCGTAGTCTGGCAGGATTTGGGCCAGCACCTCCGGGTCCAGCTCCATGAAATCCTGGTCCAGGGGCGGTTGGTCCCTTTCTCGACAAGTCGGGTTGTCGGTCTGCTGCATGGCCGGGTCCGTGTCTCGGGTCCTCGCCAGCCTCAGCATCAGCGTGGAATCCCTCTCCGAAGGCGAGAAAGTCAGAAAGACGGAGGTGCCGTAGCACACCCTGTACGCGTGGGTCTGCTGCCGCATGAGGTTCCTGGTCTCGTGGGTTCCGGGGATGTTGCGGCACTTGGCGTTGCAGTCCTGCGCTATCATCTTCGCCACCTCCGACAGCCCCGGCACGTGCTGGACCTTGGAGAAATCGCCTTGCACGCTCTTCTGGGCGCCGGTGATGTCCGTGTACTTCCCCCGCAGCAGCTGGTCTCGAAGCTCGGTCGACCCCTGGCGGATCTCCTCGCTCGTGAACTTCTTGCCGCCTTTGGAGAAGAAAAAGGTGTTGCCCTGCAAGTTCACCATGGTCCGAAAGAGATAGTTCCACAGAACGAAGCCGAAGTTCCAGTCTCGACGGAACTGGGCTTCCACTCGGCGACTCATGATGGCGGCCCAGTCGTGGATGTCGACGGTCGGAGCGCCAGAATCCCTCTCTTGCCTGCGACTCGCGGCAGCGTCCTTTGAGTTGGTATTGAAAACGTCTGGACACGCGGTGCCGTGCTTGAAGCAGAAGGCGAAGGCCATGGCGAAGTAGCGGGGCTGGAACTGGTCCACGAGAACATTCCCGGTTGTCATTTGAAAGGTTTCTGCCTTCCTCTCTGAAACCTTGTCCTCTGCCTCCAAGCTTGCGAGAGCAGACATGCCCACGGCATTCTGGTCCCGTCGGTCGAGGCTGTTGCCCTCCGCCACGATGGCTCGCGGTCGCTGCGTCGAGAAGGTGGCGCCGGCCTCACTGCATGATCCATGCTTTTCACTCAACCGCAGTGTGCTTCGCTTGCCCCAAAACTCTACAGCTGACACGGCTTGCTGCAAGTTCAGTGCCTGCCTGGTCGATGGTCCTCAGGCCGTCCACAGGCGTGGCGGCTTTCTGCGGCTGGAGCTTCTCCTGGGAGTCGTCCAGCTGGCCGAAGATCTTCACGACTTCCGGCGGCACGCCGTCCTCCGGCAAGGAGCTTGCCTTCTCCTGGACTTTCTCTTCTTGGATATCCTGGTAGGAAGGGTGCCCGTAATCGCGCATGTCCAAAATGAGCTGGACCACCACGTGCCGTCGGACTCTTGCCTGGTGAATCAAGCCCTTCAAGTCCGCCTCGGTAGTCTGGCCCGTCTTGTTGGTCTTGAGGATCACCCGGACGACGTCGGAGAGCTCGTTGGGGCTCCGGGGCAAGTCCCCAGGAGCGGTGTCCTGGCCCTTCAGTTTACGAAGCAGGTCCTCCCAAGGCAACGGAAAGGTAATGGCATTGCCGCGGGCTCCGAGGCGATGACGCGGCATGTGAGCCGTCTGGTCCAAGGGTGCTCCCTCCACCCGGTAGCGAGCCTCCATCGTCAAGCAAACGAGGGTCGTGATGTAGGGACTGGCGCAGAGCATCTCCATGACCGTCACGTTGTCCTGGTAAAGCCTTTCGGGGCCGTATCCTGTCCACATGTCGTTTGCGAGGCTTGCCGGGGGCAGCTTCTTCTTGCTCAAGCAGTCCAGGCAATTGCGACAGATGGGCACTTCGCACTGCTCGCACAGGATTCTGGCGCGAGGATGCTCTGGATTCCCTGGGCATCTGTGATCTTCGGGGCAGCAAAGCAAGCGAACTTCTTCGTGCTGGGCTTCCCCTGCCACTTTGAGGTGCCAGTTCTCGAAGTCTTCGGAGTCCGTCAACTTTTTCGCGTGATGCGCATCTCCGACCAGATGGTTATACTTTGCAAGGAACTGGTCTATTCCCAGGAGCTGCTCGATGACCTTGACGGGCTGGCCCAGGAACTTGTTCGTCTGCTCCAGAGGACGGTGCCACTGGATGTCGCCCCGATCTTCCGTCTCTGCGATGCGCGTGTAAGTGCAAGCGCACGAGAAGCAGATCAGTGACTCCACGTGGTCGCCAGCAGTCGCCTCTGCGAACTTTTCCAAAGCGATCCGGTCGAGGGAGCTGCCAGCGAGGGGAGCGGCCGAGCGGCACTTGACGCTGAGAGCTGCGTTGTAGACGCTGAGGAAATCCTGCTTGTCGGGATGGCCATGGCCTAGAAGAGCTGCTACCGGTTCTAGGTCGGGGCGATGCTGCTCGCGGAGGTGCTGAAGCAGGTCGTCCTCAATGCCCTTTCTGGCCGTCCACAAACAGCCGCTGAACGCACAGAAAGCGTGGGGCCACGCCTCGCCCGCATCCACTTCTTCCGGCAGGGCAAGAGGTGGGAGTGTGGGATGGTCCCGAAGCCTGGTCGTCGCCAGCTTCGTAATGGCATCCTCCATTTGGCGATGCGGATGGGTGGATGTCGGCGCCACGACCGCCTGGCACACCTCCTCCAGGATGTCGTCCGTGCTGCCGGGAAGCTCGGGCGAAGTGATGGACTCCATCGATCTTGTCTTCTTCATCGGCAGCAATGAACCGTCGATATCTTGAGGGTGCATTTCTTGCGGCGGAATTCGCCAGTACCTCAGCGGCCACGTCTGACCTTCCCATGCGGGCACTAGAAGTCCCACATTTTCGGCCTCCACCAACGCATCGTAGTGGTCTTCTCCATTGTATAGCACGCGAACCATAGGCAAGTCAGCGAGATCTTGAAGATCTCGGTGGGTGGAGTCCATTGTCACGATGGAACCATCGGGACGGCGTGTGTGCACCTGGACGCGGCATTCCTGCATGAGGGAGAAGGCCACGATCGAGACGTTTCCAGCCCACGCCTCCCCCGATCCTCTTTCCAAACGTTCTGCCTCTTCCAACCAACTCTCCGCAAAGTCGCCCTGCTCGACTGCATGGGCTATCAGGAAGCTTGTCACATCCCGGCGAAGGGCCTGTCCCAGCTCTGCAGGAAGGGGCCTGTCACTGTTCTCGTCCTCTGTCGCCCGCGTGTGCGCGTGGACCAGGGCGTGGAACAAGCAGTTGCCGTCCGCAACCACATTTTCCACCTGCAAGAAGGTGGTGTCCGGCGCAGCAAGCACCTGCGCGCGAAGGGGCTGAAGGTCTGTGTGAACTGTGCAATCAACCTCAGCGAGCCTTATACGTAGAATCAACATGCAATCCCTGGTCAGGGGAGTTGCCTCGCTGGTGATGCTGGAACTGCGCATTGCTGCCGTGGCCTGCGTGAGTGCTGCATCGCGGGTCTGTCTCGGTCTCTGCCCTTATGTCACTCTGTCTCTATCTCTATCTCTCTCTGTCTCTCTCTCCCTCGGTTTCTGTGCTGTTGTTCCCTCGCTTCTAACAGGAAGGCAGGGACTGAGTGCGAGAGAGTTTCTACACCTTGACTGCTAGCTTCCTGCATGCCGCCTGCTCCTCCTCGTCCTCGATATCGGCCCATCGGCGGCGGTTGCTCGGGTACATGTCCATTTGACCTGCAGGGCCGGCTCAGAAGCTTCTGTTGCCGTTCCGTCTCTGCTACTGTCGGAAGCGGCTTCGGCCTAGATAGTCGCTTCGCGGTGCGGAACTTTTTGCTTTTGATGCTCTTGAGCACGAATTGGGCTGCGGTGCCTGGTTAGTGTTAGTGTGCTCTCATTGCAGGGACCACGGCAGCGACATTGGCTTGCAGTTGGTTCCAAGCAATTTTCCAGCTCGCTCCTTGTCGTCCCGTCCTCATCAGTACCACCTATTTAAATGGGCCGGGGCTGTCTCGATCAAGGCATCGGCCTTCATGTCCAGGCTGCAAGTAGCAGACGTCCGCATCTTTTTTGTTTGCTTCTGCTGCTGTGGCTGCCAGCCGCGATGCTCCGTCACAGCCAGCGCACGGCATAGGTTGAGCGAAACGAAAGATTCTTTTCTAGTTCTGCGCTGTCAGCATGTCCCACATGTCTTGGGAAAGGGCCAATGTGACCAGTTGCCCGTCGAACGCCGTGCACACTGCTTGGTTGCGGCTCCTCAGACGGCCTTGGGCTGCCGCTGCTAGGGCAGCGGATGCAGCAAGCTCTTCCAGCTCCGGCAAAGAGTTTGACATGCCGGTGATTCGCAGCAGCTCCCCGCCGGCCACCGTGGTGAACACTGCGTCAACAGCATTTTGCGGGACAGGCGTCAAGCTGCAGGTGACGACCAAGGGTGAGGGCACTTCACGGACGTAGACCTCGCCGGCGGGATAACTGATCCAAGCATCATGGTCCAGCTCTTCAGCTTCGAACACAGCAACCTGGGCATCTGCTGGATGCCATCGGACGAATCGGCACTGCAGCCTCTCCACGGGATCGGTGGAAAAGAAGAGCAGATGCCATCGAGGAGCTGCTTCAGTGGTAAAGGCCGCGCCGTCCGAGTCAATCAATGACCACGAGCCAGGACCGCCTTCCAAACACCGGCTCCACTCCAGACAGCGGCCGTCCATCTCGTGGGTGCTCTGAAGGCAAGCAAATGCAAGCTTTGAGCCGCAAGAGTGAGGCTGCGGAATACAGGGTGCAATGCTCAAGCAGCATCTGCAAGACTGGAAGCTACATGCTTCGATCTCCGCCGCTCTCCCGCACACCTGGGAAGACTCGGGAACGATGCTCTGGGCCGAGCATGTTTTCACTCGTGCGCCAGTTGCCTTCCTTGTGAAACCAGTATCATTTCCACTTGTATTCCAGCTGAAAGACGGTATGCCTCTACCTGGAACACAGCTACGTACAGCTACGAGGGAGCTTTCCAAGTAAATTTCCTTCATACAGAGGACGGGAATATGGATTGCCAGGTGGTTCGCAGGCTCCCCACGCCGATTTTCTTCATAAAGCGGACGAAGGTGACGATTGTCAGGTGATTCGCAAGCTCTCCAAGCCGATTTCCTTCATAAATTGGACGAGGATATGTCAGGCGGTGGGCGGGCTTCCCAATTGAACTCCGGGAGTCCTCGCTTAGTCGTACCTTGGCATTGGAAGGGAATCACTGTAAACACAAGGCAAGTATGAACATGTCTAGTGGCAGTCCAGATGCGACCAGAGCTGTACCTTGGCTGTGACATGATGACAGCTGGTTTGGGTTGCTTTATGCTGCAAGCGAGACCTGACAGCCAGAGCTTCTGCCAGTGATGTCTTCATCTGTCGGGACTCTTTTATGGTGGATGGGCTTCTGCCGAAGCTGCTCGCCTTGGTTGTGCGTGGAGTTCTCGCAGGCAATGCGTGCGCATGAGGACTTTACCGCCTGCGAGTTTCGAATGGCTTAGCTGCATTCTCCGAGTCTCCCCAATTGTGGGCCGATTCCTGACGAGGTTGAAGGTCTTGGCTGAGGTCGATTGTGAGATACTGGCATTACGATTTAGCACGAGGCCGACAAAATGGGTTTGAGATGAGAGCCCGGCGTGGTGGTCTTCAACATCGAACATGCAAAGATTTTTGAAAGCACGTATTGCCTTTGTAGGGACTCTCAATCGTGGATGGGTCTCCAGTCTTGGGCCGAGTGAAGGGAAAGTGTAAACGTGCATGCGTGTAGCTGCAGCTTGGTGGCCGTCTACCGTTGCCGGCCTCGTTGGTTGTACCTTGGCATCGGCAAAGAAGGAATGCAAACACAAGACTAACGAACACGAGCACGGACATGTTTAGTTGCAGCCGAGTCGCTTGCACCAAAAATCAGTCCTTGGCTTGGACATGTTCAGTGAATGCATGCGTGGGAAGTATGAGAGTGTGAAGGTCTTCGAAGGCACCCCCCAGCGTACTTAGTACTGGGATGGCCTTATTTTAGGCGCCTTATAAGAGAATGTCCCGCAGCACACGCTCCCTGCTTCCCCGATGTTTCTGGTCGGATTGAAACATCCTTCGCCCATATGTGTTCACCGATTGGAGATAGATCGGATCCCCGGTAGTAACGCGCACCCGCGAGCGAGTACACGCGTTCCCGTTGACAGGCTCAATGGGAAGCCCCCTTGGCCCTTGGCACTGAGGAAAACAAACCGATCCTCGCGCAAAGCGCGTCCGTGGCACACATCCCAAAAGTATGCCCGCGGCCTACTTTTGGAATGCTCAAGGAAGGCACCTCGGCTCTTTTTAGGTATTTGGAGGCCGCTTCGCTAGTGAACTGGCGCGTACAGCAGTCGCTGTAGTTCAACGCCATTACTAGCTTCCAAAAGACAGTTAGCATGCTCCCTTAGGGGGCGAGCGGAGGGTCCAAAAGCGCATTGTGTGTACGCGCGCGGGTCGGGGAAATCCTGGTCCCCGGGCGGTCGTAGATTGACGGTGGGTGTCAATTTTGCCCGGCTTCAAGACTGCTTAAAGCCCTTTGAAATAACTTCGGAAGCCACTTAGAACGTTTTAAAACCACTCTGAGCCTTTAAAAACCTCTCAAAACCTGCAAAAACTTGCAACCAGGCCACCCACAACGCCAAAGTGACAATCTCCAGGCCCCAAAGTGACAATCTCCAGGCCCCAAAGTGACAATCGCCAGGCCCCAGGTGACAATCTCCAGGCCCCAAAGTGACAATCGCCAGGCCCCGAGTGACAATCTCCAGGCCCCAAAGTGACAATCGCCAGGCCCCAGGTGACAATCTCCAGGCCCCAAAGTGACAATCGCCAGGCCCCGAGTGACAATCTCCAGGCCCCAAAGGGGTGGCAATCTTAGGGGGTCTAGATTGTCAGAAGGCGGCAATCGTAGGGGGGTACAGATTGCCAACAGGTGGCAATCACAGGGGATCTAGATTGTCAGCAGGTGGCAATCTTAGGGGGGTACAGATTGCCAACAGGTGGCAATCTTAAGGGGGTACAGATTGCCAACAAGTGGCAATCACAGGGGATCTAGATTGTCAGCAGGTGGCAATCTTAGGGGGGGTACAGATTGCCAACAGGTGGCAATCTTAAGGGGGTACAGATTGCCAATAGGTGGCAATCGTGGTGGGGGTTGGTGGAAAGGGGGCGGATGGCTGTCACACTCCCTTGCTGGCCGGTTGCCCCTTTGGATTGTCAGCAGGTGGCAATCTTCAGGGCTTCAGATTGTCAGCTGGTGGCAATCTGGGTGGAGCTTGGTGGAAAGGGGGCGGATGGCTGTCACACTTCACTTTGGCCCTATGCTTCCTTGGATTGTCGGTAGGTGGCAATCCCGAGGGGACCAGATTGTCAGCAGGTGGCACGAAAACTAGGACTAACAAAATGGGGCTTTTTTTCTGCACTGGTTCTTGGCTTCTTGGTTTAAGGATGTTGAGCACGACAACCAGGGTTAACAAAATGGGGTGTGTTTTTTTCTGCTCTGGTTCTTGGCTTCTTGTTTTAAGGATGTTGAGCACGACAACTAGCACTAACAAAATGGGGCTTTTTTTCTGCACTGGTTCTTGACTTCTTGTTTTAAGGATGTTGAGCACGACAACAAGGGTTAACAAAATGGGGTGTTTTTGTTCCGCACTGTTTGCTGGCATCTTGGTGCTTCCCAACGGTGTGGCAAATACAATTTAGGGTTAAAGGTTCGGGTTTAGGGTTGGTTATCGTTGTTGAGAGGTGTGGTGTTGTTTGTTGCGTTTGTGTGGTGCTTGGGTCATTTCATTTACGTAAAACCGTTCAGTTTGCACTTATGAAAAAAAAAATTGTCAAAATGTCACGGGTCCCCCCCCCCCCAAAATTTACTTAAACTGCCCTATGGTCGACCGTTGCTTGCCTTAAATCCTGCGTACCTGCTGAACATCAAACCAGAAGCTGCGCTGGCGCACCTTCGCCGCAAGCCGTCTAAAACTTTCGGCACCAGAATGGGCGAACCCCACGATCCGGCCCCTGCCCTGATTAAAATGCAATTTTATGAAATTTTAACAGAATTTATCACTCCAAAATCTGCCTCCGATTTTCGAAAAATCAGCTGCCAAACCCTATTCCTAAACACTAAAGCTTTAGGATTTAGCGCCAAACCCTATTCCTAAACACTAAAGCTTTAGGATTCAGCGCCAAACCCTATTCCTAAACACTAAAGCTTTAGGATTTAGCGCTAAACCCTATTCCTAAACACTAAAGCTTTAGGATTTAACGCTAAACCCTATTCCTAAACACTAAAGCTTTAGGATTTAGCGCTAAACCCTATTCCTGAACACTAAAGCTTTAGGATTTAGCGCTAAACCCTATTCCTAAACACTATAGCTTTAGGATTTAGCGCTAAACTCTATTCCTAAACACTAAAGCTTTAGGATTTAGCGCTAAACCGTATTCCTAAACACTAAAGCTTTAGGATTTAGCGCTAAACCCTATTCCTAAACACTAAAGCTTTAGGATTTAGCGCTAAACCCTATTCCTAAACACTAAAGCTTTAGGATTTAGCGCAATTCTTTAGAATTTAGGCACCAGAATGGGCGGAACCCCAAGATCGGCCCCTGCCCTAATTAAAATGCACAGTTTATGAACAGAATTTATCACTCCAAAATCTGCCTCCGATTTTCGAAAAATCAGCCGCCAAACCCTATTCCTAAACACTAA